GCATTCCCCAGTCGCCGTGACAACAAAAATGGTCTCCGGGCATTGCCAAATGTCCATCCCCTGGTAGCCAAATTTGCCTGGGTGCAAACCACTGGCCTAAGACATGCCTTTTTGTTGTGTAAACAGTCCTGACTTTGCTCAGACGCATCAGCTAAAAAGAGAGGAGACAAAAATACGCCTTTTCTTCCTTCTCCATTTTAGGAGAAATCAGAGCCAGACCTATCACCCACCTGTAGGAACTCCTCGTAGTACTGAGCCCCATCTATTGCAAAGGACTTAGGACAGAAATGGGAATATGGAGGAACTACTAACTTTCTTGAATTTATCCTGTGGCAAGAAAAAAAAAAAAGTGTGTGAACCAAGCAAATGTGTTAATTGCCCACAATTTTCACAACACTGCCCTGTAGCAGTGTTTTTCAGACATTTTTAGTTGAGATATTTAAGTTCTCTGGGAAAGCTGGAGTGGGACCAGAAAATTACAGCATAGTCTGAAAAGCACTTCTTTGAAGCCCTGTGAGAGACTGGACCCATCAGGAAACCTACAAGTTTATTAAAAATGATCACAAGCAGTGGAACTATGAGTCATGCTATAAAGGACGTGTTCCCGCAGGGAACTTCTACAACATCCCTCTTCCTTACCCTAACAAAATTGCCATCCACCTTCTTGAGTCAGTCTCTTTTGTCAAACTGGTACCCAGAGATAAACGGGGACTTGTGCCAAGTAACGTGCAAATCCACAAGATAAACACATCTTCATGGGACAGCAGATTTACTTGATGATAAGTAGAGCAGTTTTATGGTTATACAAGTCTAAGTGTTACAGAGTAAAGGACACCTTTTCTGTGACATTTTAAAGATAAAATCAGATTTTTGAGGAAGGCTGTTTTATGGAAACATTCCTGCAGGAGTTGGAGAGTTTGAGAAGCAATGATGAAATGCTCTTATGAGACCTTATTTTACTTTGCAGAATAGCTTTTTAGCTGTTACCAACTCTTTTCTTAATACTGAACAAAAGGTACTACTCTTTTTTTTAAGATTTTATTTATTTATTTGACAGAGATCACAAGTAGGCAGAGAGGCAGGCAGAGAGAGAGAGAGAGAGGAGGAAGCAGGCTCCCTGCAGAGCAGAGAGCCCGATGTGGGGCTCGATCCCAGGACCCTGGGATCATGACCTGAGCCGAAGGCAGAGGCTTTAACCCACTGAGCCACCCAGGTGCCCCAAAAGGTACTACTCTTAAATGACCATCTTTATAAATAAAGTTTGTGTTATTCCTCGTTACCAGAAGAGGCAGATCTGCATTTATCAGTTGTCTTCCTCAACCTGAACACCCCGTGCATTTCAGCCAACTGTATAAAGTCGTTCCTGGAACTGTTTCCTGTCACGTGCATTCCAAAGACCCCAAGAATAATGTGATGTGACCAGATCCTCAGTAAAATGGAATAGGAACATCCCATTATCTGGACACTTAATTCTATTAATGTGGAGGAGAGTTTTTCCATTATAATACCAGCTTCATCGTAATTAGACTTGTGATCAAGTAACAGTCTCAGCTCCCCTTGTCATCAGCTCTCTTTGACTCAGTAGTTGGCATTTACACTTTCAAACCTAAATATAAGAATTTATAAATGCCATATTTCTGATTTCAGCCCAGATTCCTCATAGTAAGATCAGATTCTGTTTATATGTATCCTTTCCGTGTCTTCAGTCACGTAGGAATCACCATGGTAAATTAAAGGGTGTGAAAGAAAGCAAGTACAGGGGCACCTGGGTGGCTCAGTTAAGTGTCTGCCTTTGGCTTGGGTCATAATTCCGGGGTCCTGAGAACGAGCCCTGTTCCCCTCTTCTGCATGCTGCTCCCTCTGCTTGTGCTCTCTCTGTTAAATAAATAAAAACAAATCTTTAAAAATATATATAACTAGAGCAAAAATAATGATGGGGAGCAGGATTACTAGGGACATGGGAGGGTCTAAAGAGGTTGGTAGGGGCCAGGTCCCACAGCTGGTAAGTCAGTCTAAGAGCAATGGGCAATCATCATTACTCATTATCGTTATCATTCCACAAGAATGATGATAGAAGAATCATGTGTAGTAACGATCATTGACTGATAAGGTAAGGATAGGAAATGTACCTGGGGTTAGCGATGTCTAGAGGTCACATTAGTGAGTGTGAAGCACTGAAGCAAGAGAAGGTGAACAGCTTGGTCCATGAAGTGGATGGGATCAAGAGGTACTTGGCAGCTAAAATAGGAGTTGGTGATGCCTTAGATCTGGAGTTTGAAGAGAGGGAAGTACTGTGGATGATTTATAGGTTTCTGGGTTGCAGTCACTGATGAGTGGAAGTAGCACAAGATAGGGAACACTGGGAAAGACTCAGACATAGGGAATAGAAGGTGATGAGTTCAGTTTGGGTTGTGTTAAGACATCTAAATGACAGTCAAGAAGGGCAGTAGGAAATATTGCTCTGGGGCTTGGAGGAGAGAGCTGGGCTAGAGATTTGAATTCTCCACCTGTTTGGGTGGTTATTAATGCAGGGGGTGATCATGAAACTGCCTGTGTCCAGCATTTGGAATGAGAACAGGGCTTAGGACAGCATTGTGGAATTCCAACATTGAATGGGCATATAGTGGAGGATGAGCTTTCAATGGGAACAGAAGGTATAGATAGGGAAGTAAAAAGTAAGTCCTGCGTGTTTCCTCAGAAAATAGAGAGAAAAGAGCTTCCAGGGTCCTGTGATGCTGTTGAGAAGTAAAGTGAGGACAGGAAATGTCCTTTGGGTTAGTGATAACAGATGTCACCAGTCACCATAGTGTGTATCACTGAGACAAGGGAGGAAACTAGAGTAGGAAGGACTGAGGAGCAGGGACACAATATGGAGACATTAAATCTAATCAGGTTTTTATTTTGCTCCAAAGGGGAGGGCAGGGTCACTAAAGGGTGATACAGGGAAATTGGTGGGGGGAAATCCCATTGAGAAAGATGTTAACTCTACATGAGAAGAGTGATGAACAATTTTCTAAGTTACAGGAGAGAATCCAAAGCGTAGGTGGCAAGATTGGATATACTCACTTTTTCAGTCAGCACTTAACTTAATTGAGCAACTAGTATATGCCAAACTCTGTAACAGGTGACAGGGATGGAGCAGCCAAGAAGCCAAACACAGTCCCTGGCCATGTGGAACTTATACTCTAGTGGCAAGAGACTAGCAATAAATGCGTAAATAATTTAATTTATCTGGTGTTAAATCTATATAAAATATTATATAGGGAGTAACCAGGGGAGAAAGTTCTTGAAATTGTGCACAATGCCAGAAAGCATATTTTAAAATTGTGGTAAGATACACATAACAAAATTTGCCATCTTAACCATATTTTAAGTGTATAGTTTGGTACTGTTAAGTAATATTCACATCGTTGTGCAATCATACTCCATAACTTTTTCATCTTGCAAAATTGAAACTCTATAAGCCATTAAACAACTCCTCTTTTTACCCTTACTGAGCCCCTGGCATCTTCCATTCTATTTTCTGTTTCTAGGAATATGGCTACTTTAGATACCACATATAAATGAAATCATACCATTATTTCTCCTTTTGTGACTGGCTTATCTCAGCCTAACCCCCTCAAGATTTATCCATGTTGTAGCATGTGACGAGATATCTTTCCTTTTTATGGCTGAATAATATTCCATTGTATTTTAAAACAAATGAATACTTTTTTAGCCTAAGTACCCTAGTGATAATTAAGTATAAGTATTTAAAAATTCCTTTTTTTTTCTTTCTTTCTTTCTTTCTCTTTCTTTCTTTCTTTCTTTCTTTCTTTCTTTCTTTCTTTCTTTCTAAGTCTGAAGCTCCAGTTTATCTGGGCATCCTGTATTTTATTTGGCCATCCAAAAGCGAAGACACAGACTTGGTCAATAAGGGTTACAACTCTTCTTAAACTCTGACTCCGTTCTCCAGTGCTAAGTCTCTTAGTAACGGAGGCCTAAGAAAGGGAGTGAGGAGAAGGTTGAAAGCAAACAAGATGCTAGCAAATGCAGAAAGAAAACGTTAACGTGGTGATCAGCACAAAGTGGCACTTCTTTAGGGGAGAGCTATAACTGCCTACAAGACGTCAGCGTGCAGGGTCAGAAAGCAAAGGTCTCGTGGGTTCCGGCTTCCATAGTCTCTGAGAGTCCGTAGGCAAGTTACTCTGAGGCTGTTTTCATGTTTGTAAACGAGGAAAACATTGACCTCCTAGGGTTGTTGTGACTTGGATAGACAATTAAAAGAATCCAGTGTCCAGCCAATATAACCTAATGCTCCTCTCCCCCATACTTCTGCTGTTTCTGTGGACTTTTAAGAAATGAGCTCAGAGGGGCACCTGGGTGGCTCAGTGGGTTAAGCCTCTGCCTTTGGCTCAGGTCATGATCCCAGGGTCCTGGGATCGAGCCCCACATTGGGCTATCTGCTAAGCAGAGAGCCTGCTTCCCCTTCTCTCTCTGCCTGCCTGTCTGCCTACTTATGATTTCTGTCAAATTAAAAAAAAAAAAAATCTTTTAAAAAAACGTAAAGAAAGAGATAGGGTCAGAGTAAGCCACCAGGGTTTTAAAAAGCCTGCTGGTGCGTGAAAATGCCCTTGGCCCTCACCTCTCCTGCAAGACTCGCAAGGGCCTCATTAGGACCTTTTGTTCCTAAAATTCTTCCCGGTCTATTGGCAATATTTCTACCATTTGGACTTCGCTTTGCTGCTTAAGGTTTTGAACCTTGCTGAAAGAGCCCATCAGAAGGTGTGGCTACTGCCAGTCTTTTGGGCTTAGTCGGGGAGCAGGTCTGGTCCAGGCAGTTAGGCGGGTTCGTGAGCAACATCCCGACTCTCCTGAAAACCTCCAGGCTCCAAGGGCCGGCCTGGAGAGGAGGCGGGAAAGAAAGCGCCTCCCCCGCTCGCCAGCGCAGAGCGGCCCCGCCCCGTCCTGGCACTTCCCCGGCGGGCTCCGGTTCCCAGGCTCCGCCGGCCGCTGGCAGCATGGGCGCGGGCTGGGAGCTGGGGACCGAGGCGGGTCGCTCGCTGCTGATGTGCGCCGCGCTGCTGCTCGCGGGTTGCGCGCTGGGCCTGCGCCTGGGCCGCGGCCGGGGGCCGGCGGACCGCAGGGTGCTCGCCTGGCTCTGCTACGACGCCCTGGTGCATTTCGCCCTGGTAAGTGCGTGCGCCGCCGCTCTCGGGACCCGACCCTCCCTGGTCGCGGGTGCTCCCGGAAAAGGACCCGGACGGGTGGGCCGCCTCGCGCCCTGCAGCGGACCGTCGGTCTGCGGAGACCGGGAGGTGCCTGGAAGCCGCGGGGCTTCCCTCTCGGGCCCCTCGTGTGGAAAGAGCGCGTGCCTTCCTGGGGTACCAGCTCCTCTGCCGGATTAAAAACCAAAAAACCCTTTGAAAATGGTTATTTCTGTACCGTGTTATGTTAGTTTGATTGTAAGCAACCCAAAGGCCTTGGCTTACGTGACCTGCACGTAAATGTTGCACGGAAACTAACTGAGATCGTGAGCGTTTTTGAGTGCCCGAGAGCCAGCAGAGAGGGATGAGGAGGCGCACTGCGCAAAGTGCGAGGGCCCGTACCAAAACGAAACATCCCGCGTGCCCTGAGAGTAATCACCATGTTTGGGTAATGACTGCCAGGCACAGCGCGGTGTTCACTATTTCCGATCTTTACAACACCCTGTAATCTACTTATGGTCCCTGTTTTACCGAGGAGAGAACACGCCGTGCAAAGTTAGGTGACTTTACAGGCCCACACAGCTGGCATGGTTCTCAATCAGTAGAGTCTGGCTCCAAAGCTTGCACTCTTTGTAACATGCCGGGTTTGGGGAACCATGTCCCTAAAAATTCAACCCATTTTATAAATAACCAGGAGGTTAGTATTTAAGGAAATTCTGTTGAAATGCCTCCCTCCTCCATGCACACACTTTTTTTTTTTTAAGATTTTATTTATTTATTTGACAGAGACAGAGATCACAAGTAGGCAGAGAGGCAGGCAGAGAGAGAGGGGGAAGCAGGCTTCCTGCTGAGCAGAGAGCCCCGATGTGGGGCTCGATCCCAGGACCCCGAGATCATGACCTGAGCTGAAGGCAGCGGCTTAATCCACTGAGCCACCCAGGCGCCCCTGCACACACGTTTTTTAAAGTTTCTTTCTTTCTTTCTTTCTTTCTTTCTTTCTTTCTTTCTTTCTTTCTTTCTTTTTAAGATTTTATTTATTTGACAGAAAGAGAGCACAAGCAGGGGGAGCAGCAGAGGGAGAGGGAGAAGCAGGCTTCCCGCTGAGCAGAAAGCCCCGGTGATGTGGGGCTCAACCCCAGGACCCTGAGATCATGACCTGAGGCAGAGGAAGTCGCTTAACTGACTGAACCCCTAAAGGTTTTGTTTTTTTTCCTGTTTTATTTTGTTTTTTGTTTTTTAACAACTAAGCCAAAATAGCTGTTTTGCAAATTTGACCTTGCTTTGATCTAGGCAGACCTGTGGTTGATCGAAAGCCGAAGTCTGGAGTATGGAGAAAGAAGGAGAAAACAAAAAGGTTTTGATAAACATTTAGGTCTCTAAATGTTGATGGGTTGGATATGTGCACATACCAGATGTTGCTGAAATGTGAAATTCTTTCTTTCCTGAAAGTTTACATGTTGGAAATAAGAAAGAGTGAACAGTCCTTCAGCTCCTTCATTTACAGAGTTGATTTTTTAAGGTGTCCTTGGACACATGGTCTCCCAAAGAACAGGGGTAGTAGAACAGGGTGGCTGGTCCTCTTAAAGAAAATGTAGTATATTTTAGACATACAGAAATGTATCATGATACAAAAACATATACCCATATGCCCACCTAGTTTAAGAAAATTAAGTCTGCTTTTCAAGCACAGGCTGTTATAGGTAACATCACACATATCTCCATTTGTGGCACCTTGAGGTTTAAGCCCACACGTGGGGTCATTGCTCCTGTCTCCTCCCACCTCCTGTTCTGAAGGCAGTGTCCCTCCCACAGCCCACCATATGAATGCACCATACCTTTCATTTTTTAATTCTAAATGGCACATTTTTTCACATATTAGAAAAATGATATTTTATATCTGTGAAATTGGTTTATATCTTATAATTGATGATGAAATATGATAACTTAGCTAGCTTGTATTAATAGGTACATTTTTATTTTGCTGTTTACATACCATGCTTCAGCCAGCGTCTTTGTACACATATCATTGAGATTGGTGAGGAGGGCACTTGAATGAAGGTTAAAACCGGCAAGAAAAATGTGTGTGCACAGTACCTTTGGCTGGGAGTTTACTGCAAGAATACCGGTAAAATGTGGCATAGGCAAAGATTGGTAAAGAAAGCCTCCCAGAGAATTGGAACTACAACTCACTTGTTCACACTAGAACCTGAGCTGCCTCTTCTTAGTCCTTTAAAGTTCTCAAAAGGAAGGAGACATTGGGATGTGTTGGCCACCATCAAAGCCTCTAGAGCCCCCCGTTGGACAGGGTTTCCAGCCAAGCATTCCCAAAGGCATTTCAGCTCCCTGACATCCAACCAGAGTGTGGTTCCTGGGGCTGCAGCCCAGGGCCAAAGCTTGGTTGGTTATGGCCAGGGGGAAGGACAGGCTGATTTCCCACCAGGGCACCTGGAAGGAGTTAAGGCAACATACATGGAGAAATCAGTGGTTTGGCTCACCCTTCCTCACAGGTGGCCGTAGACGTTCTTTGGGTGGGTGCTTCATGGTTTTCCCCCCTTCTCTGCAATCTAAATAGAACTTTCTAGGCATGGCCAGCACAGGGAGGCAGGATATGGATGTCTGTGTTTTGGGAAACATCACCTGATTAACTAGAGCACAGGGTCTACCTAGGGAAGAAAGTGGGAGGACAGGCTAGAAAGGCACTTGAACGACAAGTAGGACTTTGAATTTCATCCTGTAATAGGAAGCCGTTGAAGAAAGATCTCAGGCAAGGAAGTAGCATGGCCAAAGCAGATCTTTCAAAAATGATTTGGTGGTGTTGTATTAAGTCAGAAATTGTAAAGGGTCTGAGATTATACCCTTCTTACAAATTAACAAGTTAGCCTGGTTGATTTCCCCAAGTGCCGCCAGCAGCACACAAGGGTCTGCTCATGCCTGCACAGGCCATGGGGGCGTTTCCGGGCAAGGAACAGCAAGCTCAGGCTCCCATCTTACCTGGAGTTGCAGGTGACTTGCTCCTACTTCTCGGGAGAGAGTCCTTATCTTTAGTCAAGAATGTAAACAAATCTCTGGGAAGGAAAGGCAGGTCTTTATCTCTACTACCCTGGAACACCTTAGGAAAGAGAGATCTCTTTAGGTTTACTACCTTGGAGTGTTTCCTTATATAAAGATTCTTGAATCTGTTGTAAATGCCTGTGCTCAGAGACCTCAGACAGTGCAGGAATACAAGGCGTACACAGAGAATTCTCTGCCAGCGTAGTGGATGGTGGGTTGGAAAGGATAGTGAAGGGACAAAAAGATCAGCTAAAATCAAGTGCAGTATTTGAGGAGTGAGATGAAAGAGGACTGAGCTAAGGTGGAATTGGAAGCTAAAATGGGGAAAAAAGTTAAATCCAACAGACCTTCCAGGGGAGAACGTTGTAAGTCAAACTTGTACGTTGGGGGTGGAGAAGACGGGGATCCTGTAGACAATCTTAGTGAAGACAGGAAGACCAGATTTTAGAACTGTGAATCTGGGGTTCTGGTGTATAGTTGAGGAGAAATGGCCAGAAGGCAGTTGAAACTGTAAGATTAGCTGGAGAGACAGATTCAGGGCAGAGTGGAGGGAGTTGGACGTTTTTACTGCTTTGGAGGAGACAGCAGGAAGCTCTGGGAGTGAGCATTTTCTGAGCAAGAGAGAACAGAAAGGTGAAAATGCTGAGGATTGAGAACAGAATCTTTAAAAATGTCTTAAAATGTGTATGTGTTGAACAGCCAGGAAGAGGAAGAGCCAGGAAGGAGAGACAGTGGGCCGGACCAAGAACCGGGATAGTGCTGGGTCCTGGGACCCAAGGGAAGGAATGACAACATCACTGTCAATTGCTTCAGGACAATTTAAACATTTAAAAAGGTGAGGGCTGAGCCGGAGCCTCTGGGTCCAGTGATTAAGAAGTCAATCAAGAAATTGTTAGTAGGGCTGGGCGCCTGGATGGCTCAGTTGCTTAAGCATTTGCCTTCTGCTCAGGTGATGATCTCAGGGTCTTGGGATCGAGCCCCACCTCGGGCTCCTTGCTCAGCGGGGAGACTGATTCTCCCTCTGTCCCTCACCCTGTTCTTGTACTGATTCTCACACTTGCTCTCTCGCTCGCTCTCTCTCTCTCTCTCAAATAAATAAATAAATAAAATCTTTAAAAAGAAAAAAAAAGAAGCCGTCATTGGTAAGACTGCCTAGCTGGCTCAGTTGGTGGAACATACAACTTTTTATCTCAGGGTCATGAGTTCAAGCCCCATGTTGGGAGTAAAGTTTACTCAAAAGAAAAAAAAAGTCATTGGTAAAAGTATTGTTTGAGAAGCTAAGAACTTAGCAAGGGGGGTAGAAAAAGAATGGAGGCAGCATATGAAAGACCTAGAGATTTGATGGTGGGAGGAAGAAGAGTGTAAGAGGGTAGCTCAAAGACATTGAAGGAGCAGGCAGGGACTTTGGGTTCTGTCTGAGATGGGAAGGTCTGGGAGCATCTGTGAGCAAGAGCTCGGTCAAGGGAAAAGTGAAGGGGCAGAGAAGTCAGCTGTACAGCACTTGCTGTCCAGTGCTGTGCCTGGGCATGTGAATTAACCTACAGCAGAGCTGAATCTGCCTGAATCTACTCCCTGTCCTCAGATCAAACCCCTCTGATTGACTAGTTCCTCCCACACTTTCCTCATTGAAAGCATGACTTAGGCTTGTCCTCTAGGCTGAAGGACAGTTGTCATGGAAAACTTGGGCTTCAGCTGTCCACATTCATCCTACCGTAACACCCATGGGTCTTCCTTTAAGAAGTCCTGAGTCCCAATGGCTGGTCAAGTCCCTATTAATTTGTGTATTTTGGACATTACCCTTTTCCATTTAGCATCTCCATCTGTTCCCACTTTCCACAACAGTAGCTTCAGCCTCCGACTCTTGGGATTCTAAAAATTTCTTCCTCCTCCTACTTGCTTTATCATTAGGTCTCAAGTTGCCTTTTAGTTCAGTC